AAAGTCACTCACCTGCCCCATCAGTCCTTCTTTGTAATGGAGACCCCTGCAGCTAGCTCACTGCCTTCAACTTCAGGCTGTGACCAACCTATTGTCTAGTTTGTTTCCCCTTGCAGTGTACAGAGCACACTGTTCCTCTTCTTCTGGTCTGAAGGGAGAAGCCATGCCCCATACACAAATCCTTTCCCTGTTCTGAAATGGACAGTCCACTATGTGACTCAATCTGGCAACTTTAGAACTCTGTGGTGCTGTAGATGTAAAATACAAGATTTAGGGTGGTTAGTCAGGATGACAACACAGCAATGTCCTGTGGGGCTACAGACAGGGTTCATGTCCACCTAAATCAACATGGAAGATCTTGACTCAAAACTGCTTTCTAAAAAGCCTGGAGAGGCCCCTGTTCTAGAATTAATATACCTTTATGGCACACGAGGACTTAACGTTTGTTGGAACCCTATAATGGTCCCTTGAGCAGCATTTAGAGGCTGTTTTTTTAATCGTGGATGGGCGTTTCTGCTGGTTTTAAATCAGGATTGTCTCCTAGTTATGGGAATGTAACTGGTTAATCCTGGGGAACAATTACACTTTATGCTAATTTCTGGCCGGTACGATTAGTATATTAATTATTTTTGGGTTATTTGTGATGCAGACCTCCCTTATCTATATTGCATTTTGTGAATTAACGTCTCCTAACAACTGGTAAGACCTTGTACCATCATTTCTATACCATCAATTCTACTTTTCTACATCACAGTTTAGCAGTAGAGTGCTACTTCACACAGGAGATGCTGACTACAAGCTACACAAAATTCATTCCAGACAGATCCTAAAACTAATGTGAAAAGTTCAAACTGAACTTCTGGAAGATATAGAAATTGTGGGACCAAGGCTCTCTGAATTTGGCAAATCTTTGTTCCGTAGCAGCAACATAAGCACTAAGGGCAGCGGCATCTCACAGTGATGTCAACAATAAGGTTATTTCAAAGCACAGTCCCACTCCCAATGCTCTGCACAGATGCAGCCTGCAGAGTGAAGTTACACAGAGGCTGCCAACTAGCACAGAAATGGAAAAGACCACAGAGGACCACACAGAACTACAATGGATCATGCTGGACCAGCAGGACCACAATGGACCAAGCAGGAGCAGTCAAAAACATGCCAAACTCTGCGTCTGGTACTGGCTTCAACCCAGCCAGGAGAGAACACACCACACTGGCTCCCATGACTCAACTGGTTGCTCCTCCCAATCTGCGGATAGGCCCCTAGCTCACCATAGCGTGGTTTTCCAGCTGACCCATGCTCTCTGCTCAGATCCCTGCAGCAGCACTCACATTACAGCACACAAAACCACTGGCGCCAGCTTCCCTTCAAAGCCTAGCCTGAAGCTGGTAACCGGAAGGACCCTGCACAGATTCTGACTGGCAGGTCGCATGGAGAGCCTGATTGGCTAGTGAGACCTGAGTGACAAGAGCACCTCCCAAAGGGTTACACTGTGCTTAAAGACACAGCACGATGATTCCTGAGCCTGCCTTCCACCCCAGACCCAGACTTTTTCTGAACCACTAGAGAGATGCATTTCAATGGCACCTGCCCCTGGCTCTAACTGCAGACCCTGCTCTCTTCCTGCCCTCCATAGGCCCTTCCCCTTCATCCTCCTGGACACAATGTGGCTAGCTAGCACACTATACTATGTGGAGTGGAGTGATTCCCTGTCACACAGGAGGATAAAGAGAGATTTAACACACAAAAGGAGATCTTTGTTAGGTGGCTTCACACTGAGTTCAGGTGAATTGAATGTATTTTTTACCTGCTTCTCACAGGGACTTCAGACAACCAGAAAAGAAAAGCAAGAACTAGACGACAAAAAAGATAATAGGTCTTTCTCCCATTAGAAAGCTGGATGATGGCTCCATTGCTTGAGGAGTTTTATTCCTGAAGTTCAGAGCAAAGTGTTGGCAAATTGAATAATAATAAAGAGTAGTCTTCCTGGATGGTTGAATACTTAGAGAATAATGGAGGTAGGAAGAATCCATTTATGAGCACCATTGTTAGCCAGCACATTTTCCTCAGTGAGCAAGTAAAAAACAAAACAAAACAAAAAAACCCAAAACACAACTTTATTATTCAAGCTTCTCTGCATGAACAAACCTGGTAGAATGAATCTCTCCATGTATGTACAAAGTTGATTTAACAAAATGTCTTACAAGCTGTGGTCTGGGTAGTCCAACAATGTCTGCCTACCAATGGAAATTTGAAGAGTCCAGTAGTTGTTCAGTTCATGAGGAATGAACTCGGTAGAAAAAAATCAAAGGAAGTTTAAGATCCACCTTCAATATGGATTGCAGCTCGTTTTGTTCTCTCTCTCTCTCTCTCTCTCTCTCTCTCTCTCTCTCTCTCTCTCTCTCTATCCTTGCGCTAGCACTGGTGACCAAGTTCATTCCTTTACCAGCATTAGAGCCTACTTCCTTGGTATTTTGGTGTATACTGAAGAGGAACTAAAATATCTAGCCTCATGAACTGAACAACTACTGGACTCTTAAAATTTCCATTGGTAAGCATACATTGTTGGACTACCTGGACTACAGCTTATAAGAGAGTCTATTAAATCAACTTTGTACATACATGGAGAGATTCATTCTACCAGTTTTGTTCATGTAGAGAAGCTTGAATAATACAATTTTTTCACTTGCCCACTGAGGAAGATGTGCTGGCTAACAATGGTTCTTATAAATGCATTCTTCCTTGCTCCATTATTCTCTAAATATTCAGCCATCCAGGAAGACTACTCTTTATTATTATTCAATTTGCCAACACTTTGCTCTGAACTTCACGTATAAAACTCCTTAGGCAATGGAACCATCATCCAGCTTTCCGATGGAGAAAGACTTATTATCATGTTTGTGATCTAGTTCCTGCCTTTCTTTCCTAGTTGTCTGAAGTTCCCATGAGAAGCAGGTAAAAAGTAATTCAATTTACCTGAACTTAGCGTGAAGCCACTTAACAAACATCTCCTTTTGTGTGCTTAAATCTCTCTTTAGTTGTTAATATTCTGGGTATCCATCCTCCTGTGTGACAGGGAATCACTCCACTCCACATATTATTGTGGGGTGTACAAGCTAGCTGTCCACATTGTGTCCAGGAGGATGAAGGGGAAGGGCCTATGGAGGGCAGGAAGAGAGCAGGGTCTGCTGTTAGAGCCAGGGGCAGGTGCCATTGAAATGCATCTCTCTGCTGGTTCAGAAAAGGTCTGGGTCTGGGGTGGAAGGCAGGCTCATGAATCATTGTGCTGTGTCTTTAAGCACAGTGTAACCCTATGGGAGGTGCTCTTGTCACTCAGGTCTCACTAGCCAATCAGGCCCTCCAGGCGACCTGCCAGTCAGAAGTTGTGGAGGGTCCTTCCGGTTACCAGCTTCAGGGTTGGCTTTAAAAAGAAGCTGGCACCAGTACTTTTGTGTCCTTTTCTGTGAGTGCTGTGTAGGGAGCTGAGCAGAGAGCATGGGCAAACTGGAAAACCATGATAAGTTTAGCTTGGGGCCTATCCCCAAACTAGGAGGAGTGGCCAGTTGAGTCATGGGAGCCAGTGTGGTGGGTCCTCCTCTGGCTGGGTGGGATCCAGTGGCTGGACAGAGAGTTCTGCAGGTTCTTGCCTGGTCCTGAATGGTCCAGTGTGGTTCTGCTGGTCTGGTATGGTCTTTGCAATTCCTGGGCTGGCTGGCAGCCTCTGTGTAAGTTCACTCTGCAGTCTGCATCTGTACAGAGCATTGTGAGTGGGACTATGGTTTGAAATATCCTTGTTGTTGACATCACTGTGAAATGGGGGCAGCCTTAGTGCTTATGTTATTGCTATAAAACACAGATTTGCCAAACTCAGAGAGCCCCGGTCCCTCTCCTATCTTCCAAAAGTACTGCAATGTGAACTCTTCACATTTAAGGTTCAGATGCATCTGGAGTTATTTCTGTGAGCCTTGTAAACAGTATCTCATGTGTAAAGTGGAACTTGATGGTACAAGGTCTTATCAGTTCTTAGGAGACATTAATTCACAATAGAATTTAGGTAAAGGATGGCTGCATCACAAATACCACAAAGATAAGTAGTATGCTAATCATGCCAGTTAGAAATTAGTATGATAAGGTGTAATTGTTTGTTCCCCAGGATTAACCAGTTACATTCCGATAGTAAAGGAGACAATTCTGATTTCCAACCAGCACAAAAATGTGGGGCGTTTACCCACCAACCCTACAGTTCCCCAGAGTTTTCTTGAGTGCAAGCAGCAGGAAATATTAGATAGAAGGATTTATTGCAGAGAATCTTGTGGAGATAAACAGATAGAAAATAAAGGATAGCCTCGAGAGGGCCTGGAACCTTTTCCAACAGGCCCCGACTGTCTGCCCCAGGGTTTTTATAGAGATGCCAAGGGGTGGAGCAAAAGACCTCCTTCCCCAGCACAGCCAAGTGCAGACCATCTCAGACACCTGCACTCAGGCCTGTGGCCCTAATCATCCTCTATGAGGACCTGCTGGGTAAAGCCATGAGGAACCTGAGGACAGGCTCCCACAGGTCCCCCCTTCTTAATATATATATAAAAAATAACTATTAATGTCTTACAGCAATCTCCATAGCTGTTACACCTCCCAGTATGGGAGTAGAGGATGATTTACATGGCATTTCTCTTTTGAATTAGGTCCAAGGTGACTACAGCAGTCTTAGCTGCCTCAAGCCCTTTCTAAACCAAAAACTCTTAAGGAGACTACAAACTTAAAGAATCCCTTAGCTTCATCATTACCATTAACAGGTTAACATAAATATTGCTACACATAGTCACAATTCTCCCAATCTTACAACACAAAGCAAATTCTTAACAGAACCATTTGAATTAGCATATATGGTGCTATATATAGTTAACAATTTTCTCCATCTTACAACTTTAACTCAGTCATTTGAATTTTCTTGCTAACAGAACATAGGAAAAATCTCAATGTATTCACATCAAACTTAAATATTTCCTTAACTCCACAAAACCAGAGTAGGGTGCATTAATATCAATGGGTTAAACATAATTTCTGCAAACATAATTCAACCTCATAACTCTTCCTTTTCTTTATAATTTTTAACAAAATCTTAAACCTAGTTAGAAAAAACCCAAACTTATAGAATTCCAGAAACCCATATTGAAAAGCAATATTTTCAATCTAACCATTAACACTTTGAAAACTTTTAGCAAAACATCCAAAAGAAGTTTCATAATAAAACTCTTTGCACTTTAAATTTTAGTATACCCATTTGCATTTCTTACTAACAAAACATGACATTAATCCACTCAAACAACAATTTTTTTAAATTAAGTAGACTAAAGAATATTAACTCTCCCTTTTCTTTATAATTTTTTTAAGCAAAGTCTCAAGCCTAGTTAGAAAATCCAGACTTTTCCATTTAAACAGTTCCATTTGTAACACAAGACCAGTTCCATAAGTAATTCCATTTTTACATAAACGGTTCCACAAAACAATTGCATTTTTAACACAGAACAGTTCATGAATCACCAGCATATATGCATACACAGAACTGCATCTTCAGTCACAGTAGAAACAATAAATTTCTTCATTTAAATGGTTCCATTTTTAACACAAATAATTCCAGAAAATAGTTCCCAGGTCATTACTATGAATAAACTCAAAATTGTCCCATTGCAATGAAGTCTCTATTGTTCATTTCTTAAGTCCCAAAATTCAAATGATAAATTCTGGTACGAACCTTCCAAATATGAAGAAATCCATAACCAAAATCCTTTTGTAATTTTATCTAATTTTAAGTTCAAAAAGTTCAAACAAGAAATAAATTCTGGCATCAGACTTTCACTTCCAAATATGAAGAGACGTTTTTTCAACCAAAACTTTTTGCAGTTAACAATTTTTGTTCAAACAAGCGTCTCTGAACTTTTATTCTCAAGCCAGAGACCTTTTTAAGTACAGTAGTATTCTAAACCGCACCATTTTTTATGTTAGCTCAGGTTTTTCTGTGTTGCATCGATTTTCCATGGATCTCAGCTGTGGATGCCTTGTCGTGCTGGTTCTGGTCCACCATTCTTAGTGGCTTCTGGAGCTTTTGAAAACCATTCAGACTGCATACTTTGCAGGCTACTGGGACACTTCTTTCTGTGTCTCAGGTTCTTTCAACCATATACATTAAAAATAGACTCGCACTTAACATTTTTTGCCTTTCAAAGCATTTAGATTCACATTCAACATTTACATTGTACAAACTCACATATAACGTATTAACATCTACTTATTTATACTCCTTAAGGAAACTATAGAACTACTTTAGCAAATATATTTCTTATTATTCATTCCATCTTATTCTTATTTAAACTTACATTTACAACTAGCATCTTACAAGCTT